TTGCATCCTTGACGTAAGAAACAGCTTTAGAAATGATGGCAGAGGAAGATCTGCCATCGGCTCAACGGTCCGCAAGGACTATGGGAAATGAAAAAAAAAAAAAATTCTTATCCTAAAAATCTTATGTGAAAATTACTTAGATAAAATTTATAATACTTACAACTCACTTACTTAATCTGGTTCACACCATAACAGTTGTTCATGAAAATTGTTAGTATATTTAGTACCTAGACCACTACTATGTATCCCAGCTGGCCTAATGAGCTCTGGTATTGTCAGCACTGATTATGGTAGATGTAATGTTGACATATTATAAGGTATTCTCCTTTACTTTCACTTGTGGATTTTTAGAATTAGTTTCTATTTTTCACCACTAGAGGAAACTAAAATCAGTTTCTTAATATAAAAAATGTCTTATTTAATATTTCATATACACTATGAGGCAGATGAGCTAGGGTTTCTAAGGCAACTAAAAATGTAGCTAAAGTAAACAATTGAAGTAAAATTATATATACAATAAAAACCATAACTATAGACACGTACTTCTGTGTGTGTGTGTGTGTGTGTGTGTATCTTCATGGTTCAAAAGGCATGCATTGCTTAACTTGTATACCATAGGTTTTCAGTAATAATATGGGCCTGTTTGATTTCACTTTACACTGGTTTTGAAATTCTACACAAATTCATCTTAAAAAAAAAAAACTTGTATCCTCCATGCCATACTATACTACATCTACACTTAAATATTTTTTTTTCTGAAATTCAGCTAAACATAATATGTTGTTTGTTACTTAATAGATATTTCATTCGTACATAAAGGTAAAGAATAAAAAAAAAAAGAAAACAGTACTCAATTTATATAATGAGAATACAGTGACTGTTGGCTGTCAAGTACCAGAGACAGCGTGGATACCAGCAGAGTGATAGATAGATGATGCACGATTTTTTTTTAAATGTAGCTTAAGTGTATACTTTATATTGTGCTGTTTCATCTCTCAAATGTGTATAGAAATACACATGAAAACATTTATAAATCCAAAAAACAATCACTTACTAAACATTATTAGTATTAAAAAAAGTGTTGTTGTTTTTTTCACAATTAACTCTCTTGCATGTTGATTAACTCCAATGTAGCCCGAAGAGTACCACCGTATTTTTCCATTCCTCCTGATAAAAAGTATGAAATAAATCCAGGAGCAAGTTTGAACTTGACGTGTGTAGCTGTAGGTTCACCCATGCCATTTGTTAAATGGAGAAAAGGATCTGTTGATCTCACCTCGGAGCATAACATTCCTATTGGTAAAAACAGCCTGGAGTTAAAGAACATCAGCAACTCAGCCAATTATACTTGTGTGGCCTCGTCCAAGTTTGGCAGCGTGGAAACAGTATCTGAGGTCATAGTACAAGGTAGTGATGTAACAATAAAAAATATTGTATGGGTTTTATATTTTACATTTTTATATTAGGGTAATCTTTCAGGTGCTGAGTGGATAATGTACCAATAAAACAATTTTATATATTGCAATCAAATCTTGAGTGGAGTTTTATTGTACTTGTGGGACCAGTTCAATGGAAGAAGGGAGCTTTTTGGAATGGATTATTTATATTTAAATAGGGTAGGGACTGGCTTGTTTGCTAGGGCTATTAACTCAGCTGTAACAAAATTGTAAAACTAGGACTTGACAGTGATGAGGGCCAGGATATACTAAATGCAAAAGGAATAAGAGGCAGAGAAAAGTTTAGCATAGGAAATGAGT